TTTTGCTGGTTTATGCTGGTCCTTTTGCTGGTGTATGCTGGTCCTTTGCTGGTTTATGCTGGTTTATGCTGGTCCTTTTGCTGGTTTATGCTCGTCCTTTGCCAGGACCAGCTTAAACCAGCATCCCAGCGTCAAAACATACCTAACCAGCATATGCTGGTTTTTTCAACAGTCTAACCCACCATAAATGACACATAATACAAAACATGACCATTAAACTAACCTATAATTTATGTTAAAATCCCATATTGGCTGCCACACTGTTTGGTAATGTTATTTTAAATAGCCTACCTTCTTTGTAAACCACCTACACTAGTCTACCCCGCAAAGACGATATAAAATATAAAGACTTTGTAATGCATCTTTAGGAATTTATTTTTTATACCAAACTATTTGGGGTCACTCCCGCTGCTTTAATCCTCTCAGATATGAGGTCAAAACTCTGTTTGTTTGTCCAGTTTAGTTTTCCCCCCTTTATCTCTCGCTGACCGCACAGCATCCTAAACGTTGTGCCATTTTTAATGACAAGAGAGCGTTTGACAGCTTTGCTTTGACCATTTCTGTGGTACTCACGTTTAGTTGATACACAGATATCACAACTTCAGTTCATACAGCACACGTCACCCGAACTCGCGCGCAAAAATCGGTTGTGACTTCGGTTATAAAAACCCGCGCCTCTCAATCTTCAAAACTGGCGCGCGTTTTTAGCACACCAACATATTCTGCTGCTGTCCCAGGTGAAAAAAAGTGCACTTCCATACTTAAAGTGCTCTATTTTCGCGCACTAATTTTGTACTTAATATAGCTACTTAAAATGATTCCTTAGTATTTCTTAAGATCAACTAAGTGTACTCAACTGTGCTATTTTGGGACACCATAAAAACCCGCGCCTCTCAATCTTCAAAACTGGCGCGCGTTTTTAGCACACCAACATATTCTGCTGCTGTCCCAGGTGAAAAAAAGTGCACTTCCATACTTAAAGTGCTCTATTTTCGCGCACTAATTTTGTACTTAATATAGCTACTTAAAATGATTCCTTAGTATTTCTTAAGATCAACTAAGTGTACTCAACTGTGCTATTTTGGGACACCATGAATATTCTAAAACGCGCTTTTAACATATCTCTGTATTTAAAAATATATATATTAAAATGTATTATTTAGTCACCACTTGTAGTTACAACTTTCTGTATGAAAGATGGGTTCAAGTGTACTACAAGTGGTAACTAAATACAGTTTTTTAAATAGGCTAGGCTACAGCCCTGTTGAAAAAAACAGCATATGCTGGTTAGTTATGTTTTGAAGCTGGGATGCTGGTTTGAGCTGGTTTAAGCTGGTCCTTTGCTGGTTTATGCTGGTCCTTAGCTGGTCATGTGCTGGTCCTAAACTGGTCATGTGCTGGTCCTAAACTGGTCCGACCATCTTAAGACCAGCACATGACCAGCATAAACCAGCAAAGGACCAGCATAAACCAGCAAAGGACCAGCATAAACCAGCAAAGGACCAGCTTAAACAAGCAAAGGACCAGCATAAACCAGCATCCCTGCTTCAAAACATACCTAACCAGCATATGCTGTTTTTTTTATCAACAGGGAGAGATTGTATATTAAAAGCACATTTTAATTCATATTCATGGTGTCTCAAAAATAGCACAGTTTAGTACACTTAGATGATCTTAAGTTCATTTTAAGAAGTACTAAATAATCATTTTTAGTATATCGAGTACAAAATTAGTGTGCGAAAATAGAGCACTTGGTCGGAAATGCACTTTTTGAGTCATCATTACGATAAAACAGAGGTAAAAACAAACAAACAAACAATCGATGAATGAATGAATGACAGATTGGAGAAGCCACACTGTCAGAAAATCGCATATTAATTAATTATAATTTTACAGAAGACTATAGGAAGACTGTCTAGCATTAAAGTACATTTCTTTTGTAGGCCATACCATGTTCGTTTGTATTAATGCCTAACTATGTATTTACACAGCAGACTGTAAACAAATGTGAAGTACCTGTCAGCTGTTTTAAAATATAGACCATCCTAATAACTCCAACACAAGTCAAAAACCCAGCGCGGTTACCGCTACGGCAAAGCGCGTGTCCCGGTAAAGAGCGACAATCTGCGTCATGTGACGGCGGACGGACGGAGAGATGAAGATGGCGCAGCACCGGCGCTGAAGAGTCTCCCCGTTCACCGCGTAAAATCACGGAAAATTGCATCGATCAAGCGCGAAAGAGCGCAACGCGCGCTTGCGTGACTCGAGAAACGCTCAAGGTTAGCTCGTCCTCACGCTGTTCCAGCGGTAAATCACGACTGACCGAGTCAATGAAATTAATAAATGATCGTCTCCATCCTCAGATGTTGCTGCCGCCGCATCCATAACGGGAGATCCAGACGCACGGATGGGAAACCTCAGCTGACGCGTGAAACATGTCGATTGTTTTATCAAGCATACGGCTGTGAGATAAACACGTCTGACTGTCTGCTTCAACTTTAATGTGTCATCGTACATGACATTTAACCGAAACTCTTATAATATCTTGGTTATTTTACCGGGATCATGTGGACACCGACCGAGGACGAGAAAATCGGAGTGGGTGAGTTGAAAATCTGTTTTATTTGGCATCCTTGATATAAATAGGCTATACAAATTAAGCTAAATTAAACTAATTCCAGGTATGTTTTATGTGGCTTGTAAATCATTTGAAAGCGGCAAAGAACATATAAAACTAGATGCCATATTAATACGCAGCGTTGAATGTTTTATACGTTAATGCTGAGGAGAAATTCATAACCCGTTTTATGAATTTAACACTATTACCAGGCTGTTACTATAAAACGTATTGAATTCATCATGTAAATCGTTCTGCACGACTGTTGAATACTAACGTGATGTTACAGTAGTACACACTGCTGATGTTGAGGATGCTATACTCGAGCGACAGGGGGCGATGCGAGCGGTGCGTTTCCAACAGGTGCATAGTGGAAAACATCTAATATTGAGCTCTAACACTCCTCATCCGCACCAAAATCATCTTCTGAGAGAGCACAAGCTTCTAAAACAAATGCACTGCGTCTTCACTGAACGAATGCACTGTCAGCATGTTGCAGTGGTCAGCGCTTACCCAAAAGTGTCACGGCAGTGTGTTAAATGCCAGTGCAGTTCGCAGCTCCCCTACTGTGCCTGATAGATCCAGCTTCATGTACACACAGAATCAAATTCAAACACAGAGGTTATTAATATACCTTCAAAAGAAGGAAACAGGCTTGAATGAGTTATAAAAGAAGGATCACATTGCTGCAAGAAAATTGGGAATTTGAATTATTGGTCTCATAAGGCCCTGATGAGTCACCATGTTCAGCATTGTCACCGTGTTTGATTGGTCATGTACAATGCAGCTGTCACATCGGTCAGATATATGCAGATTAGGAAGATGCATTGTTGTGTAACTAGTCTCAGTCCTGGTGGTTGACTTCCTGTGCTCGTGTGAGCCACGATACAAAATGGCAGCCGTCACTAGTGTGTTTTTGCTAGATGTTATTTGCTGGTTTTATTGTTCTGGCATTAGTGGTTTGAAGCCTTTTTAGTTGCCTCAAACTTTAATTACTCATATGAGATTCTTTAATTAGTGCAACTTTTCTGTCTCCAAGAATGATTTTAAAGAAAGATTTTTTGGAGGAAGAAATAGCCTCAATTATAGCCTTATAGTATTTCATTGACTGTCTTTAATGAGCTGTCCCTAAGTTTTAGAAGAATGTAAAGACTAATTTGGCAAAAAAATTTTTTTTTTTTTTACAATTTGTATAGCAATTAAAATAAGCATTTTAGAGAACAATTGCATATTTCTTATGTTTGGTTATTATGAAAGTGTATTTTAAAAGATGATGCTTTATATAAGAAATATATAAGAGGACACTGATTTGCATGAACGTTTTTTTATAATTTTACATTTATTAAACAATATGCAATTATGAAATTAGTTAGTGTTAACAGTTATTGGTTAAATATTTGATAATTGTAATGTCAGAAAATATATATATATTTTGAAATTTTGCATTCAAAGTTAAGTTAATTGACCACTAACTCGCATTTTATGACCAAGCCATGATCATAAATCTGAAAAAAATTCTTGACTCTATATATATATATATATATATATATATATATATATATATATATGAAAAAAATATATATTAAAAATGTAAATAAAAAATATGGGCTTTAGTTGAATAAAATTGACTAAAATTGCTAAATCTAAAACTGAAATAAAAATAAATGAAATGTAAATGAACAATTATTAAGAAAACAAAAAATTCTGAAATGTCAACTTAAAGGCACAATATGTACGATTTTTAAAATTAAAATATCCAAAAACCACTAGAACAGTGTTATATATTTTGCTGACTTGTGTACTTACATTATCTCAAATGTTTCGAAGAATGTTTAAATCCAGAGAAATAAGCTATTTTAACCAGTGACACGGACCGTGTCCATAGTGTCAGTGTCGCCTGCCAATGACGTCATAACCCCTCGATTTCCGGTTTTGTTTTGTAGAAAACATGGAAACACCAAAGACGCTTTAATATGTTGTGCGTTTTATTAGACAGGTGATGACTGCACAGAGTAGCATTATAACAGAACTTTCAAATGTATCTAGTATGATAAAGCAGCGCTGCTTTACCCCACATACGCACGACCGGAAGAAGCAGAAGCGGTCGACTGTGGCATAATAAAAGCTCCGCTGCTTTCGAGGCGTGTGTCACGCTCGTTCAGCGGCCTCGTTTCGCTTCGCCGCCTTTCAGCCTCACCATGATTCATTCTACTACGTTAATAAATCATTCGCTCATCCATGAACATGATTTCTGCCCGAGTCCCGTTCGATTACATCGGCTGTGGAGATGAAGACCACAACTCCCATGATGCCACACTCAGTCACGGCGTCATCAAACTATGCCTTTGTCTATTTGTTTATTTTTAATACGCAAAAATTACATATTGTGCCTTTAAAGTTAAAATCAAACTGAAAAATATAAATAATATTAAATAACATTGTTATGATCACATATACCAAAATTCATATACCAAAATACACTTCAAATTTATCATGTTTAAAGTTTTACTTTTCAAGGTTTAAGTTGCCCAAAGTGTCCTTGACTGAAAAATCACACATATATGAATGATGAAGAGATGAAAATGAAAAATGCAGTGCCATTGCTTCTTCTTTGGTGCTGCATTTTGTTTGCAAGGAATAGCAAAGCAGTCAAAGTTTGAAAACTTTACATTTCTCCCCAGGGAGGCCATAGAACCTCAGATACGGCCCATTTGTCAGAACTGTCATCCGACATCTGCTTTAGTTTTAACGATTATATTTTAAGAGCTACATAATTATAAACTTATAGGAACAGACCAACTATTTGCCATCTAGGAAAGCAGATCTGTCAAAAGGATGGGAGTTTTACATTCCGAGGCAGCAGAAGGTGGAAACTCATGGATGTTCTCCAAAAGGCCAACCCCCCCGAGGTTCTGGCAGGCCATTGAAAAACAGCTATTCACGCTGGCTCTGTGTGAATGGGTCTTTGTGATGCAATGGGCATGTTGAATGTGATGCTAACCCCACAGCCTGCTAATGCACCACACAGTTCACATCAATGAAGGCTATTTTCCTCCTCATCTCTAATTTTACTGTATAGAAATCATAGCGGTTCAATATTAATTCTGCTTATTTTTGATGATATTTTATATTAAAGGAATAGTTCAGTCAAAAATGAAAATTTGCACAAATTTACTCATCTCAGGCCATCCAAGATGTAGACGAGTTTGTTTCTTCATTAGATTGGGAGAAATGTAGCATTACATCGCTTGCTTGATCCTCTGCAGTGAATGGATGCCGTCAGAATGAGAGTCCAAACAGCTGATAAAAACATCACAATAATAACAAGTAATCCACATGATTCAGTCCATCAATTAACATCTAGTGAAGTGAAAAGCTGTGTGTTTGTAAGAAACAAATTTATCATGAAGATGTTTTTAACTTTAAATTGTTGCTTCTGGCTAAACTACGAGTCCATAATATTGCTTTCTCCAGTGAAAAAAAGTCTTGTCTGAATCAGGAGAGAAAAATTTACAGATCAAGCCTTAATGACGACTTTGTTTCTTACAAACACACAGCTTTTCAATTCACAATACATTAATTGTCATGTGGATTACTGTGATGTTTTTATCAGCTGTTTGGACACTCATTCTGACGGCACCCATACTGCAGAGGATCCACTGGGGAGCTGCTACAGACATTTTATGGCAAATTTGGCTTTTTTTTGGGACCAGAACAGGTGATATTAGTATAGAAACAGAACATTTTGAGGTTGGAGAGGAAATTATTATATTTGAGATGGTGATTACCACCACATATAACAAATTCCACCCCTTATTTTGATTATGAGAACAGGGCTACCGAAGTATGTCTTCATTTTAGTAACTACACTATTCACCACTGCTTCCTCTACATAAGTCATAGGTGACATTGTTGATATAATGGAGATAATAAGATGGAAATATTCTGTAAGAGGGCCAGACTGCCCAATTTTATGGTTAAAGAGCCAAATGTCCTCGTAATGCCTAGAGGTGATGTATAATTTACTAATGTGCGCAATTACATCCCATTTTGATCTGGCATTGCGTAATGTTATATCCTTGGGGCATTTGCGAATGGCAGCACTCATGCTGCGTTGGATGTGGGACGTTTTTATGTTGATTTATCTGAATACCAGCCATATAGCGCTTTGTTATTCGATGTTTGGAAAAAAAAGAATGTGTGAAGAAACAAAATGGCAGCGCTAGCATTTGTTTTGAACGAATATCAACAAAGATGCTAATTTAAAGTGTTTTATATTGGTTAAGCATATGTTGAATGTATACTAAACAAGTTTCATCATGTGAAGCTGAACTTGATATTTTTATTTGCAGTTACATTGCGCTGACCATGCCAGTTGTCACTGTGAACTCATACTGACACCTAGTGGTGTGGATGAAGAATCACGTTAAAATTTTCAATTACTGATGCCATTGCATAAATGCGGCATTTGCAATGAGACATAAATAAGTTATTCTGTGAGCAAAAGTGATCAATTTTATGGCTTTACCAAGATGCAAGTAGCTTCAGTTGGTCATGTGATTTCAAAATGGCTGCCTCCATGACAGGACCCACTCCTTGTTAAACAAAAACGATTTTTTTTGGCTTGCTGATATAACTGCTGCTTAATTAGTGTACATCATTTAAATTTAAATTTTTCGAACACACTACTTAGTTGTTTGTTGAGCTTTCCATTAAAAGGGAATGTTTATCATTAGTGACTTATAATGATATACAGTATTATAGCAATATATCGACCAGATTTTTTAATCAGCTCATATTCTGCCATTTCAGGCTTCCTGCTTTCAGAATATTTAAAATCAGAGTTCAGACGTTCGGTAAAGTCGTAAGTCAAGAGTTTAAAACACTAGCAGTTAGCATGTGCTGATAGACGCGATAGTGCTAATAGCACTCTTCCGGTCCCTTCTGAGATTTGTTTGTCATCTGTAACTCTGCTTAAAGGAAGG